TACTAACCCTTCCTTTCTGGGCTCTGTACATTTCTCAGTGGGTGACCTGGGATGTATTGTGCCCAATCTTAAACACCATGTACACTGTGAATTTCTACAGTGGTGTCCTTTTGGTGAGCTGCATGAGCCTGGACATGTATCTGCAGATAGTTCATGCTTGGTCTCCTCACAGCTCTGTGACACGGAGGAAGTCCATCCTCATCTTGTCAATGGTATGGGTCCTTTCCATACTCCTCTCCGTTCCTGACGGTCTTTTCACCAGCACAAGGCAAATCCACAACAAAACCATCATGTGCACCCATGATTATGGCGAGAAACACTTGTTTTGGAAAGTTGTCTTTCGGGTCATTCAAAACATCCCGGGTTTCCTCTTTCCTTTCCTCTTCATGATCTTCTGCTACTCCCGCATAGCGTGTGTCCTCACCACGTCTCAGATGCCTGGCTTGAGGAGAGCATTCTGCTTGGTCTGTACTCTGGTGGCTGTCTTCTTTGTCCTGTGGTCCCCTTACAACATCGTCCTCGTCCTTCACTCCCTGCAAGATGTCGGTGTGATCAGGAGCTGTGAAAGCAGCAGGCTATTGGACTATGCCATGCAGATCACAGAGCGTTTGTCCTTTGTCCGCTGCTGTCTCACCCCCTTGCTCTATGCTTTTGTGAAAAAACGATTCAGTTTATACTTAGGGAAGATCCCTCAGGCCATTTTTAGGAGAAGCGCTTTCTTTGACATCCAGCCCTCAGAGACAAGCCAGTCTTGCAGCAGATACGCAGCTGAAATAGAAATGTTGAGTATCACAAGTGCATGATAAATATTTACGTTATGTGTGTGCCCTCTATGCTGTAGTTTATGGGTCCTGGCCATCTGATGGAGTTGGTGTGAGCTCACAACACTGTAACAGGATCATTCATCCCAGCGCCAGCACTGGGATGAGGGTTTTCCATGTTGGGATGGGAAAAGTATGCATGGGATTTGTTTCTGTTATAACTGGAATTATTATAAAAGCCTTGCCCTGGGTTTACTCTCGTGGAAGAAGCTCAGCTCCTGCCTGGAGTGTGTGAGGCGTTAGTGGATGAAGGAGCAGCTTATCTGGATGTTGTGCCCTTAAAAATGCAAACTGAAACTTGTGCAGAATTTCTGCCCCGTAGATCCCGAAGGGTCTGATGGAGGAGAGCTGGGGAACGGATTTGCCACACTCATCCATCAGGCCAGACGTGGTTGGCCAGCAGCCCAGCCTGGAGGGTGGCTTTGCTTCTCCTGGCTTTTGCCATCTGCAGGGTGCGTGATTCAACTGGGCTCGTCCCTTTGTCTACCAGGAGAGACAATGGGAGGAATTAGGGACCTTTAAACTGAGTTGTCTGACCAGTGATGGGGTTTCTCTGAGACAGTGAGCTGTGCCACCCTCAGGTCTGCTGAGTAGGAAACGGTGTCTTTCCGAGGGGCAGATCCTTGGGTAGAGATCAGTTAGATCATCAGCTGAATCATGATCGGTTTGATCAGCATCAAAGTTCAAACTGGTAACAACCGGTGAGAAAGAAAAAACAATGGGCTCAGCAGAACAGCGGTGGAGGTATTGGCCTTCCCGAAAATCAGTTTTGACAAGATAAAAAAGATCCATGGGTACTGTCTGTAGCAGAAATATTGGCATTGCAACACCACAGAGTGAGAGCCTTGAACAGAAGAGCAGGGATAGCTGTTAGCCAATCCTTATTACCCAGCGTAGCTTTAAAGGTCGTGATTATTAAGTTTACTGACCTTTATTTAAAGGTACTATTCACCCCAAATACTCTTCGACCTTAAATGGGCCCCTTCCAGCGTGGAAACCTATGGAGCATGGCAGTTGCCTAGAGTTGTACAAATAAAATTAATAATTCACAAGAAAACACTCGTCGCCTTAATTTTATTGCTAGACAAGGTTGCTGGGCTGAGAAGGGCTTTGAATCTATCTAGAAAGGTGAATTTGTTTTCAGTGCTGTTATTTTTCTTGCCAGCATTGCTACCGTGTGTTTCCAAAACAGTAAGCCTGGGAGCTTTCCTTAAAAAAAAGAAAAGCCAGAATAAATATTTAGCTGATGCTATGATGTGGCCTTCCCTCCACGGGTCAGGTCACTGGGAGGGAAGATGGAAGGGGAAAGCAGCTGGGAAGCAAAAACTAAGCTGAAGATTGTGATCCCATACAGAGGAGGGCTCGTGGGACCATGCAAAACGTACGATGGGATGCTCAGGGGAAGGGAAAAGCAAGGGGGAAATCGGGGAGGGTATAAAAGGGGCTCGTTGTGTATAAGCAGCATGCCCTGCGCCTGCTCACGGCAGTCTGTCCTGTCGCCTTATTAAATACTTTTTCTTAACTCTCTTCCCATGTAATGTCACTTTTTATCCAGCGTGAGGGTGCTGTGAGGTCCGAGTGCCAGCGGCTGGGGCAGAGGCTGTGGTGACTGGCTGTGTAGACCAGGGTGGCAGCGCCCAGAGGCACAATGCCAGATGGGGCGCGGGGTCACTGGCATCGTCCCTAAATCCCATCTGGAGCGTGGGGAGCAGGAGAGATCGAGAAACAGAAAGGAAAATGGATAAAACTGCCAGGTGCAGGGGTGGGAGCGGGAAGGCAGAGGGTCGGGGGTGCTCCGCTGGCTGGAGGGGACACGACCGCTTTGCAGCTGCCGAGCACCGGGCGTGGATGCATCGGCATGGGAGAAAGTGCGGTGGTCCGTCTGGTACCAGACTCCAGACTCATCGGGTGCAAAGGGAATGCAACCGATTCAAGCCCTCATCGCTTGCCGGGGAAGCAGACCTGCCTTGCTTTGCCCTCGTGCGGGTTAGCCGTGCTTGGACCGTCCGTTGGGAAAGCACTTACGGGGCGCTGTGCGTTGGAGTACATTGACATGTTAGAGACCTTTCCTTCTCTTAGCTTTTGAGACCAAATTAGCTCGGCAGTAACCCCCTTCCCTCGGTCCCGAGCTCATTTCCGGTAGCATTTCCAACATCCACTCTTCCTCTCATTTTTTCAGCCTGCAGCTCATGTCCGTAGCCTGGTTTTAAAGGCAGAAATCACTGAGTGAAATCCTCTGAACCCTCTTTTTCAAAAACTGGGCTCTGTGCAGCCTAGAAAAGAGAATTTGCTGAAGCTCCTGCAAAGCACATGCCAAAACCTCTCTGCCTTACGCAGCAGCCCGGTAACTCCAACTTGATTACAATGTACCTTCCACCTTAAAAATCTCTGTTCCTCGAGGGAGAAGTACGCACTGGAGCGCTCCACAGGGGAAAGGCAAACACTCACTGCCAATGGGGACAGAGGTCGTCAGCTGCGCGTTCGCATGTCAGCCGCTGGATGGGAATAAAAAGCATGTTCCTGCCCCAACCCAGCTCTAGTCCAAGCTCCCGGATGGGCGCAGAGCTCTCATGGCGATCTGGGTGATTCTCCTCTCTACCTTGATAGCGTCGCTGCTTGGTGGGCTCTACCTCCTGGGCGTGTTTCGGAGACGGAGACCTGATGAGCCGCCTCTGGACAAAGGTACCATTCCCTGGCTGGGTTATGTGCTGGATTTCAGAAAGGACAGTTCAGAGTTTCTAAAAAGGATGCAGAGAAAACATGGGGATATTTTCACGGTGCTGATCGGAGGCTATTACTTCACATTCGTGATGGACCCCTTCTGCTTTGGAGCCATCGTGAAGGAATCACGATCTAAACTAGACTTTGAAAGTTTTGCATCTAAACTGGTCCTGCAGGTTTTTGGTTACAAGGCCAGCAAAGCCAGCCATGGCATAGTTCATGCACTGAGCATGAAGCATCTGATGGGAGAAGGGCTCACTGTCATGACAGAAGCCACCATGAAGAACTTTCAGAAGCTGATGCTGTTCAATCTCAACTCAGGAGAGGAGAGGGAAGTGTGGAAAGAGGATAGCCTCTTCCACTACTGCTACAACATTGTCTTCAGAGCCGGGTACCTGGCTCTGTATGGCACCGAGCCACACCAAGGGGCAGAAGGCAAGGAGAAAGCTGATGAGCAAGATCGCATACACTCCAACCAGCTGTTCCATGAGTTTCGGAAGTATGACCGCCTCTTCCCTCGCCTGGCTTATGCTGTGTTGCCTCCCAAAGACAAAAGAGAAGCTGAACGGCTGAAGAGGCTCTTCTGGAGCATGCTGTCCGTGAAGAAGAGCTGGCAGAAGGACAATATCAGTGGGTGGATAAGTGAGCATGACCGGCTTCTGGCAGAAAGCGATGTCCCGGAGTACATGCGGGATCGTTTCATGTTCATGCTCCTCTGGGCATCCCAAGGCAATACGGGCCCAACTGCCTTCTGGCTCCTCTTGTATCTAATGAAACATCCAGAAGCAATGAAGGCTGTGAAGGATGAGATAGATAAAGTCTCAAGGGAGCACGGCCAGGAAGCAAAGCCAGGGAGCCCACCAATTAACATCACTAGGGACATGTTAAACCAGACCTCTCTTCTGGACAGTGCTCTGGAGGAGACCCTGAGGCTGGTTGCAGCCCCGATACTGGTCAGAGCTGTCCTCCAGGCCACCAGCCTTAAGATGAGCAGCGGGAGAGAGTACACTCTCCGCAAAGGAGACAGGGTGGCCCTGTTCCCGCATGTCTCTGTGCAGATGAACCCAGAAATTCACCCCGAGCCTCACAAATTCAAGTACGACTGCTTCGTAAACCCAGATGGCACCAAGAAAGAGTTCTACAAAGATGGGAAGAGGCTGAAATACTTCAACATGCCTTGGGGGGCAGGTGTATCCATCTGCCCTGGGCGGTTCTTCGCTGTCGCTGAAATGAAACTGTTTGTGTTCTTGATGTTGAGTTACTATGACCTGGAGCTGGTCAACAGAGAAGAGGAGATCCCAGCCATAGACATCAGCCGCTGGGGATTCGGGACGATGCAGCCTGTTCGTGACATTCGGTTCAGATACCGGCTACGCTTTTAATTTGGGAAGTCCTTGTTTGTTCTGGTGTTATCTGTGGAATAAAGTGCACGATGCCATGGTTATCAGATCCATGTGGCACCAACAGTGACATGATCTTGTTTATTTAACGGTTATCATGGCTTTTCTCTTGGCCTCCTTCACTTCTGTTGATGCTCTGTGCCTCTGGTTATTGTGGTATTGAGTTTTGTGATAAAAGCTCATCTGCACACCCACAAAGGATAATAGGGAGACTAGTACCCTGCCAGGCTGCTCTCAGCCCCATCACAGGGGCCATCAGCCCATCAAAAGCCCATCTGCACAAGTCCAGAAGAGCACAGGGGCATGTTGGCAGGTGGGAACCCAAATTAAGGCCTTCCAACAAGTAAATGTTTTGTCCAGGCCCCTACCAGGACTGTCCCAGCACAGCCACCAGCCCCATGTGTCACTGGGAGCAGCTCTCCGGGTCACCATCCGGACTAAGGGGGATCGCTGTCAAGGGAAGGAGGACATCTGATGGTATACAGGGGAAGAGAATTTTGGGATTGCACAGGGCTTACGGTGGGATGTTTAGAGGAGGAACCAAAGGTGGGGAAAACGGGGGATTTAGGTGATTTGGGGAACATGAGGGGATAAAAAGGGCTGGTTGTGTGTGAATAGGGGCTGATTCATACACTTGTCTGGTCCCACACTGCACCTGATCAGCACAGTGTGTCCTATTGTCTTATTAAATCCCTTTCCTTAAATTCAAGCCCATGTGTCTGTGGTGCTGGCAGCTGTTACTAGTGTGTGAGTGGGTGTGCAAGCAAAGATGAGCTGGCAAATAGGTGGAGCGGCCTGGGAGCCAGGGCGTGAGCCTGGCTGCACGGCAGCGTTGGGACTGCATTATTTTGTTACCAGCTCCTTACCGACACGTTCATTTTCCACATGAGGTATCCTTGGCTTGTGGTGAACCCCTGAAAGGTCAGAGAACAGCAAACATCCTCTCCAGAGAAGTAAGGATTTCCTCGGCGGTTTCAAATGGTCTTGTTCTATCTGAGGAGGCCCCCAAAGGAAGCAGAGGTGGGACGTGCTGAGCGATACCAACAGCTCCTTCCCATTTCATGTGTAAGAAAAGGACAGATCTTGCCAGTCACATTTACCACAGCAGTGGGAGGAGAAGGGGGTTGCAAACGTCACTGATAACCTACAGTTATCATGTGCCTGTGGGGATTAGGAATGCATGTGGTCACCTGCCTTTCCAGGGCTGCAGAAGCTTGTGCATTCAAGCCCTGCGTCTTATGTACGGTTTCTGGGGTTAAAAAAGCTGTCTCTGTGTGTGTCTTCATTCATCCCACCGACTGTAACACTGCTGCAGCGTGGGTATGTACAGCTGAGCCAGCATCCCCCCCCCAGCACCAAACCAGCTCCCTGCTTTAACCCAAATCATGGCACCAGCCCAGAAATGGTGGACTCTGCCTGCTGGCTGGGAACGGGTCTGCCCATCCGTGAGGGGCTGGCTGGCTGGGGGGCAGTGCCTGAGCCTTGGTGGGGGCTGAGCTCCTAGTGTCTCGATGGTCCTCCGCCCTCTCCTTGAGCCCCGTGGGCTGGTGATGCCGACACCCTCCTCCAAATTTAGACCCCATCCTCTGCAAAGGCCCAAGGATGCAATAAGGAGCGGGCTGATGTGATAGGAAGCAGCTAGAAAACCACTGAGTGGGGCAGGAGAAAACAACCTCAATCCCTTCCAGGCTATGGCCACTGCGACTTTGAGTCCCCAAATGCCTCTGGTTTATCCACTGGGTCCAATGCAGGATAAAACTTTGCTCTACAAGCTCTGCTTTGCTTTTTTTCCCTTCCATAATTACGGCTCTGACAACATCAGTCCTTACAGAAGTTAAATCACAGCCTTACTTGTGCAGAGGACAGTAGATTGATTTTAATGCTGGTACTAACCTTGGACTTTGAAGATTATGTATGACAGAGGAATGAGACAAACATTTTCACATGTCTCCAAACCTCAAAGCTGGATTCTGCTTTGTTCTGCAAAGGACAGGGTTATGTTGCAACTGTGTGTCGAGGGCAAACTATCCCCTATTGCCATACTGAGCATTAACCCAGACCTTGTGGTGGTAGAAATTCAGGCAGAAGCTATCAAGCAGCTGTGGAAAACAAAAAACTACCTGTAACTGCACAAGGCTTGACTGTGACAGTTAATATTCCCATTAACAACTCCAGCACCTTTTCATGGCTTCCATGTTCCCTCTATGGCTCTCACCTCTTTTTTGTCACCTGTGGGTTCATTTCTTTGCTCTGCTACCACGATTTAAGCTGGAGCTCTTCCTACATTCTAGCCAAAGGTTTGATCTTTGCAAGCTTCAAACCATGCCCAGGAATACCTTGGGATAGCTGGGCAGGTCAGAGCCATAGTGACATGCTGGCCAAGTGATGTCCTCGCTCCAGGGGGATTTTTTTTGTGTGGATGGTTTGCGTGAAGGTCGTTTACTGCTAAAGAACAGTGTTTATATGTTGTTATCACTTGTAGGGACCCCAGGTCAGAGTTGAGGCATGAGGGGCAGGTGCTGCACAAACATGGACTGGGCTTGGGAAAGGAATATAAAAATAAGGACAATGATAATGGTTCAG